TTTATTGTTAATATTATATATAATACTATTAAGGCATAAGTAGCTTTCAAAAATGCTAAAAATATATGTTAATTGTTCATATTACTGTTCAAAATTATATAATATTATAAAGACAGAAATCACTTTAAAAATGCTTTATATGTTTACTGTTGATATTACTGTTTAATATTGTGATAAGAATGTTTATAACAGAAGACACAATGAATGTAATGAATGACAAACAAAAGATAAATACGCATTTTTTTTAGAAGAATAACTGATTATTAATTATTAATACAAATATATATTAAGAAAATGTATTAAGCTGTATGATTAATTTGTCATATTCTCCATCATCAATTGCAACAGGGGGGCCCCCGCCAGACGATAATACTATATGGGGGTCCTTGGCATGGCAAAAGTTTGGGAACCCCTGGTCTAATCGACAAACCTTGAGGGCCAGCAGGCTCTTGTTGATCTCCGCCCCCTCCAGACGGGTTTGGCGGTCGGCACTCGATGTGTCGGCCCCCCTCTCGTTACCGGCGAGGTCGATGAGGGAGAACTTGCCGTGCATCTTGCCCTTCCTGCGGAGAATGATCTGGAAAACGGCGTGGCTGCGAGATGAGTGGGCGTTGGCTGATGTCTGCCCTGAGGTTCTGGAAGGGAGAGGAAGGACACAGACATATTAACATGGCACAAGGAAGAGCGCACACTAAATAAGAATTGTAGAGGAGGGGAAATGTGAAAAACGCGCTTGACTTTCTTTTCAGTTATCATGGACTATGATGTCATATTCTATTAAGAAACATTCGCAGCCTAGTGACCAACTCATTTCATGCATTAAAAAAAGATCATATCATTATCATTTAACAAACAAAGACAGTTCCTGCTGTGGTACCTGCAGCTGTTGCCCACTTCTATGAGTTTCAGGACCTCCTCTGTGCACTTGACATCCTTCTCCTGGAGTCCCACAACCTGCACCTGCTGCTTCCCATCCTCCAACACCCTCAGCTTAGTTTTACGATTCAGCAGGTCAAACACCTAAGAACACATTTACTTCGTCAGAATTGGTTTTATTTTGGGGGTAAACAAACACAAACAAATGATTACTCATCACTTGCCTTTCCGCTGTAGATTTCAAAGAAGGTTGCGTGCACTTGAAGATCTAACTTCTTGTAGTTGGGTTTCTTCAACATGAGAAATACATCCCGAGCTGCACGGAAGAGACAAGAGATGTTACATTTCACCTAAGCAAGCCAAACCCATCATAATGAAAGATATTGTAAGGCGTAAATAAAGTATATTTACACTTTTACCAACTAGACGGACCACTTTTGGACAAAATGTCTTCTCCATTAAAGGCAGCTCATTGTGGAATAGCCTCCCAACTGAGATACGGGATTGTCCCACTCTCAATAGTTTTAAAGGTCAACTCAAAGAATGGTTGAGAAACAAACAGACGTGCGATCACCGCTAAATGCACTTTAACACCGGGGTATCTCCTCTGGCACTTTACATGTCGTTGCTGCTACATTGTACTGCCATGTGGGAAATACTCGTGTATTCTGCTTTTGCACTTTTTGCATATCATGTATTTTGTTTTTGCTATGTTTGTAAAATGTCTTAAATGTTTTATGTGAGGGACTGCAGATGGAAATGAGCTCAAAGCTAAATCTGGCACTGTTACGCTTGACACATTTGAATGTTTTAAGTGTTCGTCACTGTGCATTGTCCCTGCCAAATAAACGATTAAATGAACTAGAAAACATTAAATCAGCACGAAACGCAACCGCGGACTTACCAGCTAATGCATAAATTCCTTTTGAGCAGTCCTGGTTCTTCCCAGAGAAATCTCCACCCATAGTCTGAAAGACAGAAAACAATATCAGAGTCAGAAACAGGTGTATTACCAGGTAGGAGGAATTTGACTTGGTGTTGTGGTGCATGCATAAAAAGTAAAACAAAAATTCAAAACACAAGATAGAAAACTATTTTAAGAAAACTATAATAACATTACAAAATATAGAAGTATTTAGATTGAAATAGATTTGGTATAAAATATGTGCAGCAATAAAAAAACAAGATATTGTGTAGATTGATGTAATATTATATTATATAGGTAACTCCAAATCATTTCCAAGGGTACAACTCTTAACAGTAGCCGTCGAGTCTGATCCGTAGTAATCCCTTTATTATCGAAGGGGTCTAGGTGTGTAACTCACGTGGGTTTTTCCACTGCCCGTCTGCCCATAGGCAAAGCATGTGGCCATGCCCCTCTCAAAAATGGTCTCCACTAGCGGTCTGGCTGTGAACCTGCAGGATGAGACAGAACACATGTATTCACTGATCCAATGCAAGATATTACATAAATGCACACAATCGAATAAATAGGTCAGTTCCGCATCATCCATGTTTCAAAGCAAATGAAACAGCTCTGTCCGTGTTTCTTGGTTCGTTGTTACAAACCTGTAAACCAACTCATTGGTGGTGCTGTCGTCGAAGGCGTAGTCAAAGCGGAAGGTCTGGTTCTCCAGGTAGCGGGTCAGGTCCACTTTCTGTTTGGGTTCGTGAACCATCACCACGTCCTTACTGGGGACGGTGAGCACATCCAGATCCTTCATGGCCAACTCTGGAACACAGCAGAGGCAAGACGTTTGATATCATTCAGACCTTAACAATAAACAAAACATGTGGTTTCCGAATCAAGAGCTGACCTTTCTTGTTGAGCGGACGTTTCCTCACGCAAACGCATATTCTGTGCTCTTCAATCTGGACGGCGCAACAAAGACGGACATTTTATTAAATTGTTTCTGAGGGTCGAGGTCTACAAATCCAGAGAGAATGAGAAGCTTCATCTACTCACCAGATCTGCCGTGGTCAGGGGCCGGTAGTCCAGGCTGGCTCGGAAATCTCTGATCATGTACATGATCTCGTAGTTAGGGATGGTGGTATCCACCTCCTGAAGGAAGTTAAACAGTGAGGCGCCAGCTTAATAACCATTCCTAGATGTCCACTACATTAAGAGGTCATCAAAATGAATGTAGATGTACCTGAGCTCTCTTCTCTCGTAGCTCCTGCTGCTGAATCCGGCGCCTCTCTCTCTTCTCCTGCAGCTTCTCCACCTCCTTCACGCAGTTTGACTTCCTCCTCGCTGCCATAAAGACAAGACAACAGAAGGAACAGTCACTCTGCTGCCTTTCAAAGGGTAAGCCTTTCTCAGCAAAAGGGTCTCTTCCTCTTTCTTTCTTCTACTTCCTCAGTCCTTTTCCTCGGCTTGAGCTGTATCTCTCTGAGTCTTTCCTGTCTCATGGTAACCCTTCAAACAAAAGGGGAGACTTCAGGCTATTTCCTACAAAGCAGAATACAGAAGTGCTGAGGCACGGAGCAGGGTGCAGCGGCTGGCACACAGTCCCTCCACTACAACACTAGCTTCCTTCTCTAGATATAAACAAAAGGCCTCCACAGTATGTTTACAAATATTCATATATGCCTTCAATCTGCATCTCAACACAACTGGACCAAGAAACTGATATGCACATCACTCACAATCTGAGATATGATCTTTACTGCAATTACGCCAATTCAAATTAGTGGTGGTTTCAAATCAGGTGTGATTAACCAATAATCAACCGGAAGAAGCTTATTCCTAATCTCCCGGGAAAGCACACCCACACATTAGTTTTGTTCCAGGTCAATCACAAAGGCTTAGTTACAATATTAAGAAGAACAGAAATCTGCAAACATGTGATTGCTTGCAGAGATGATCAGAAACAGAGCCATCTGATTGGCCCTGGCACGCTGCACGGCTTCCCTCTGTAAAGCCAAAGCTCTCTAAAACAGTCCTGTTGGCTGCATTCCCCGAGAACCCAGAATATCAGAGCAAAGGGATTAATAATCTGCTCTAATCTGGGAGGAGGAGAGGAGCTGGGTCGGCACCGGGACAGGGCGAGATAAGAGGGATTCAGTTCCATCGCTGTGTCTGGGTTACTCTCTCTAACACGAGGTGGGGGGAACAAGGACCTTCCTCTCCTGAGTTCATCAAATGACAGTTGGAGGGAATAGAGGATGAATAAAAGGGTTATTGTTGCTGTCTGAGCCTTGAGGAGTATCGCACAGAGGAACAGGCTAATCCATGTGTGTGCCTGTGTGTGACTCAGCAGAAGTCAGACAAACCAGCAGCCCAACAATATTTGTTTCTCCCTGTCTAATACCCAGAAAAGCCTGTCTGCTGGAAGGATTGTGTTTGTGCTACTTTACCACCACACCACAGCTTCAAATTGTATTGGACACACAATTTGACTAGAGGACTCTCAGTTTCTATTGGGGGACTGATATTAGAATCACCATTAGACATCGAGGGCAGGGGGAACATGCAGGTGATACATACAAAGCTGTCCAAGATCCTTTCTGGATATCGGCTGATGAGAGGATTCTGTGATAAACACGTGGTCAACAGAAACATGAGATATTACAATTCAACAGATGCTAAACTCCTAGAGAATAGAGTGGTGCAGGAACGAGTCCTAAAACCCGGAAGTGAGTTAGCATTTGACCACTTCCGGTTCCCTCGTCTCAGAATCGATGGTTTTGTTTAACTCGTTTTTGGAAAATAGCTCGAAATAAGGTCTGTGGTTGACACAAAGGTAAGAGACGGATCGCGTTTTGTTCTACGACATTATTCATCAGCAGTGATCCCATTGGTGATTTTTGAAGAGTTGACGTGTCTGGAAAACGATGGTTGTTAACATGTGGCTCAATAGGACTACAGAAGTTGTTGAGGACGTTGTACTTCACTACGCCGAACACGTAAACACTCCCGCTAAGTTTGTTTGGCCCTGCGCTCTAGCAAACTGTTAAAACAAACGCTTCAACTTGTACGATTTAGAATCTGTATTTTTGAATATCGATCTTAAAGGTGGGGGTAGGTCATTTTGGAGAAACCAGCTCGAGTGCGCTAGAATTTGAAAATACTCAGCCGGAAAACATCTGTCACTTCCTTACAGAGCCCCTCCTCCAACACACACGAACGCGCACATGACCAATGAGGGCAGGAGATAAGTGTGTGCACTGATGGAAGGCTGACAGGCAGGTAGGCCATCCAGTTATTTTAGCCGGTCCGGCTCAGATGATTGGTCGTGCTTTTTACAGTACCACGGCTTCTTCCACAGATGACATTTTTTTATGGATTTTTTGTCAAAGCACTTCAGATATTCATTGCCATCGGGAAGTTAAGAGCATTCCATGGAATATAACAAAAAGTGTATCTCGAGCCGGTTTCTCAAACTTACCTACCCCTCCTTTAAGTTGGCGTGATGTTGAAGTCTCCTGCTGTAGTTCGTTTATAGCATAATGTTAGCATTTTGCTTCTGGCAATTAGATTTATGATTCGGAAATGATAAAAGTAGGGTAGACGTGGAGATTATCCGGCTGAACAAAACGTGCATTTATCTAACAGGTTCCTTTTCCACAGATCTTATTTTTTACAATATTCCAAAATCCTATTGAGAAATCCCATTGCTTTTTTGTCGAGGGAACCCACGCGCAGCTTACTTCCGGGTCGGCCTACAAAGATACGTCATCCCTGCACCACTCTGTTGGCGCATCTAGATACTTTGCGCCGTGCTCTTATGTTGTTTTATGCGAGCTTTATGAACAGTAAAAAAATTACAATTGTATTTATTATAAACTTGTTAGGCCTTAACATGTATCACTGTGTATATCACGTCCTGAACCTGTCTCTGTTTCCTCTCTGCTCTGCAGGAACGTGATCCACGGCAGCGACTCGGTGCTGAGCGCTCAGAGGGAAATCTCTCTGTGGTTCCGACACAACGAGCTGCTCTGCTGGGAGGACAGCAGCAGCAGCCGCTGGATCTACTGAAACCCTGCTGAGATTACACCGTCCTGCTGGGGACACAAAGCTTTATGCAAGATCCCATCGTACCTCAGATCAATCTTATTTGGCTTTAGTAGCTTGTAGACCCAAGGGAGACGAGGTGTCATGGATGGATCTTTTTATCAACCCTTAGATGCCCGAGTGACTGGACCCTACACTCTTCCGTAAGTGGGTCAGGAAGGACCCGTATTAGAATAATATATGTTTTTATGCCATTTTGGTCGTTTTGGTTAAGAAAAATCACTTGTATAATATTTAGTATTATATTTTGGTTCACACTGGAAATATTTTATATTTAATTTTTCACTATTTATAATTTTAGACATTTTTTTTACATTTTGGAAAAAAACGTTTTGAACCTATTGATGCAAAGATCTCCGCTATTCTGAGACCCTCACAG